GGCAAAAATAAATTAAGGTTAGATAAATAGAGAACACAGCAGTGATTATGGGTGCTTATGCAACCCAGACACATCTCAAGAACTACAGTATATTACACCTCTACCCACCTAACAGCTGGAAAGGTGCATTTCATTTCCTTTAGGGTTATAAAACCAATGTATCTCAAGTCTAGGACAACCAGCAGGTGTTGCCGACAGTAATGAAACCCTGTCGACTGAGTATTCCTGTTGGCTGAAAAGTTTTTCTGTAGTTGGTAAATTCTTGATGATTTGCTTTATCACAAAGTATATCATCACTAAGGAGTTTTATTTTTGCCTGCTTACATTTTTAGCCCTTTTAATGTCACGGTGGCAAAGATAGAAACATTTCTGCTAGAAAATCTATTGCCGTGATATACAACAGATGCCAACAACGAGGTTGATTAATCAAAAATGTAAGCCTAATATACAGTCAGGTCCAAGGGCGGACTGACAACTCATGGGGCCCCCGGGCAATAGAGGATCATGGGGCCACTGTGTCCTTGCCTAAACTCAAAAAACCCTATGAAAAAGGTACCAGGGGCATCTCATGGGGCCCCCTACTAACCCCGGGCCCTCAGGCAGTGCCCGAGTTTCCAAATGGTCAGTCCGCCCCTGGTCAGGTCCATAAATATTGGGACATCGACACAATTCTAAAATTTTTGGCTCTATACACCACCACAATGGATTTGAAATGAAACGAACAAGATGTGCTTTAACTGCAGACTGTCAGCTTTAATTTGAGGGTATTTACATCCAATTCAGGTGAACGGTGTAGGAATTACAACAGTTTGCATATGTGCCTCCCACTTGTTAAGGGACCAAAAGTAATGGGACAATTGGCTTATCAGCTGTTCCATGGCCAGGTGTGTTATTCCTTCATTATCCCAATTACAATGAGCAGATAAAAGGTCCAGAGTTCATTTCAAGTGTGCTATTTGCATTTGGAATCTGTTGCTGTCAACTCTCAAGATGAGATCCAAAGAGCTGTCACTATCAGTGAAGCAAGCCATCATTAGGCTGAAAAATACAAAAACAAACCCATCAGAGAGATAGCAAAAACATTAGGTGTGGCCAAAACAACTGTTTGGAACATTCTTAAAAAGAAGGAACGCAACGGTGAGCTCAGCAACACCAAAAGACCCGCAAGACCACGGAAAACAACTGTGGTGGATGACCGAAGAATTCTTTCCCTGGTGAAGAAAACACCCTTCACAACAGTTGGCCAGATCAAGAACACTCTCCAGGAGGTAGATGTATGTGTGTCAAAGTCAACAATCAAGAGAAGACTTCACTAGAGTGAATACAGAGGGTTCACCACAAGATGTAAACCATTGGTGAGCCTCAAAAACAGGAAGGCCAGATTAGAGTTTGCCAAACGACATCTAAAAAAGCCTTCACAGTTCCGGAACAACATCCTATGGACAGATGAGACCAAGATCAACTTGTACCAGAGTGATGGGAAGAGAAGAGTATGGAGAAGGAAAGGAACTGCTCATGATCCTAAGCATACCACCTCATCAGTGAAGCATGGTGGTGGTAGTGTCATGGCGTGGGCATGTATGGCTGCCAATGGAACTGGTTCTCTTGTATTTATTGATGATGTGACTGCTGACAAAAGCAGGATGAATTCTGAAGTGTTTCGGGCAATATTATCTGCTCATATTCAGCCAAATGCTTCACAACTCATTGGACGCCGCTTCACAGTGCAGATGGACAATGACCCAAAGCATACTGCAACAGCAACCAAAGAGTTTTTTAAGGGAAAGAAGTGGAATGTTATGCTATGGCCAAGTCAATCACCTGACCTGAATCCGATTGAGCATGCATTTCACTTGGTGAAGACAAAACTGAAGGGAAATGCCCCAAGAACAAGCAGGAACTGAAGACCGTTGCAGTAGAGGCCTGGCAGAGCATCACCAGGGATGAAACCCAGCGTGTGGTGATGTCTATGCGTTCCAGACTTCAGGCTGTAATTGACTGCAAAGGATTTGCAACCAAGTATTAAAAAGTGAAAGTTTGATTTATGATTATTATTCTGTCCCATTACTTTTGGTTCCTTAATAAGTGGGAGGCACATATGCAAACTGTTGTAATTCCTACACCGTTCACCTGATTTGGATGTAAATACCCTCAAATTAAAGCTGACAGTCGGCAGTTAAAGCACATCTTGTTAATTTCATTTCAAATCCACTATGGTGGTGTACAAAGCCAAAAATGTTAGAATTGTGTTGAAGTCCTAATATTTATGGACCTGACTGTACTCTAGCATGTATTTTCAGCACCTGGCAATCCAGCCAGAGAAATCCTTATATGAAAGACACTGAATTTTAAAGCAGAACTAAACTCTCTCAATCAGCATTAAAGTGTTACTAAACCCAGAACCCTGCATTCATTATATTTGGTCCCCCACAGTACACACAACATGGAAATGCAATTTAGTCAATATAAACTGCTAAATACCTTTTCTCATCAGCAGTATATAGCAGTCTTGTGACTTTTCAGTGTCCAGATGAGATGAGAACTGGTTAATCTTGTAGGAGTTTTCATTCTGCTATGACTGTCCTATGAGGCTTCATAACCCCTGATCCTCTGTCTGGACAGTGCCAATTGGCCCTGTGCTGATCACATGCACCCACCCAAAAAGAAAAAAAACTTACTCTAGCAATACACACTAAACTGAGCAAGTGCAGATTGTCTCCTAGGGCTGTGTTGTATCAGCATTTGAATTGAGGACGGTAGAAGGCGAGTATCAGAGAAGACAGGATCAAACCACCTTTTACACAATGCAGAGGATTAACCCCTTAGGTTCCACAGTGAGTATAACAAGCATGCTTTACTGCATATACAGACTGATTTTACTGTTGTGGGTTTAGTACATTTTAACCATTTTTAATCCTTACGCTGCTAGCATTAGTAAATAGGATTGAAAGATATATTTACTGGTTTAAGCGTTTTTTTTTTTGTTTTTGTTATACATTTCTCCAGTTGGTTCCAGGTTTCTGGCCTAGGCAAAATAGATGTCATACATCCCAAGTGGGCATTTTTTTTTTATTTCATCTGGAGGAGAGAGAAGGGGTATCCTCAGTTAAGCACACCCTCCTGCTTGCATGCCCAACCTAAGGCAGATGGATTCCAGGAAGTAAATGCTACATGAATCACTTGCACTTACTTACCAAGATGGTCACTTCTAGATATGCTGGGGAGCGTTTTTCAAAGTGACTTATCAACAAAATAAAGGAGGGAGACATGGATGGGTGAGGTTACTATGAATATTAAAAATGAATTAAATATCGGTTTCAGTTTGTGGTACTCAAAGAGTTTAATCCCGCGTTAATGAATATGTAAACCAAACATTTCATAGATTCCTGATAGGTTCCTGCTGTATCTTGTACTTGCATGAAAAAGTATCCTGTTCCTTTTGTATTGCTTCCTTTGTGCGTAAACCCTGGTGTTCCCGCCAGTCCATTTGTTTTACTATTAAAAGCTGACCATACTACGCAGGAGAGCACAGGTTTGGTCAGCTCCTCCAATCCCAGAGGTCGTCATTTTTGGGGAAACGCAAAGGGAAGAGTCCGAGTGTGACATCACGTATTGGCGCGCTGGCTGACACCACGACCAGACGCTTTTAATATATAGTGCAATACTTTTATTAATAAATATAAGTTTAATTCTACAACACCAGGAAGCTTCTCCCTATTTGTGCTTTACACATGTGATTGCAGTGAGCGACATTTAAAACTAGGGCTGCTATTTGGTTTGTCTACACACTCCATCGATGAGGTCACTTAATCTTCTGAGGGTCTGACAGTGAGAGTGCCAGCCTGGAGTTCAGATTCAAGCGCTTTTGATCTCTGTAATTCAAGATCACCAACATTTGTAAGAGGCCCCTCTAATCTAAGGAGCACATCTGAGCACAGGAGCACTTTTTGTGAAGAGGTTTACAAACAGGGAGCACTTTTGTCACTTCTTTGGACTATTTATGCTTATCAACTTTTTGATTTTGATCTTGTTATTGGTGCAATTTAAATTATATATGAATTGTGTCAGAATATTTCATTTTGTTTTTTTTTTCACCAAGTGGGGGATTGGCTAACATTTGCATATTTATGATTTAACCACTTGCCTACTGGGCCCTTTTACCGCCTTCCTGCCCAGGCCAATTTTCAGCTTTCAGTGGCACTTTGAATAACAATTGCGCGGTCATGCAACAATGTACCCATATGAAATATTTAGCTTTTTTTGCACACAAATAGAACAATTTTTGGTGCTATTTAACCACTCCCCGTCCACCCACTCTACATAGACAGTGGATGGGAAGCAGTGCTGATGAGGGCTAATGTTACCGTACATCAGCCCACATCAATGGCTCGTGCACGGCTCACAGAGCGCACACCCCAAAGCCCGGTGATTGGTGTGTTGCCAGAACACAGCATATCACATTACGGCTGTGTTCAGGCAATCACGTGTTTTATCATGTGACTGCTGTGACCAATCACAGCACTCACATAGTAAACACTGGAAACAAAGTAAAGATCACTTCTCTCTGCTCTCAATGTGAGAGCAGCCAGATGCCCCAGATCACTGCCCCACAATAACAATAATAAATAATGCAGGGAGGCCCTGTCACCTGTCCTAGTGCACACAAAACACCCCCATACCCCATGCCAGCGTCCTGATCACCGCCATACCCCATGCCAGCGTCACCTTACCCCATACCAGCGCCATATCACCCCATACCCCATACCAGCGTCCTTATCACCGCCATACCCCATACCAGCGTCCTGATCACCGCCATACCCCATACCAGCGTCCTGATCACCGCCATAGCGTCCCCGCCATACCCCATAGCAGGGTTTTGATCACCGCCATGCCCTATATCAGCATCCTGATCACAGCCATAACCCATACCAGTGTCCTGAGCCCCGCCATACCCCATACCAGCGTCCTGATCATCGCCGTACCCCATATCAGCGTTCTGATCACCACCATACCCCCAAAGAAGGGTTTTGATCACTGCCATACCCCATACCAGCATTCTGATCACCACCATACCCCATAGCAGGGTTTTGATCACTGCCATACCCTATATCAGCATCCTGATCACAGCCATAACCCATACCAGTGTCCTGAGCCCCGCCATACCCCATACCAGCGTCCTGATCATCGCCATACCCCATATCAGCGTTCTGATCACCACCATACCCCATACCAGGGTTTTGATCACTGCCATACCCTATATACCAGCATCCTGATCACAGCCATATCCCAATACCAGCATCCTGATCATCCCAATACCAGCATCCTGATCACCCCCATACTCCATAACAGCATCCTGGCTATTGCCATAGCAGCATCCTGATCACCGCCATACCTCATGCTAATGTTCTGATCACTACCATGCCAGCATCCTGATCACTGTCATATGCCATACCAGCGTCCGGTTACAGTGTTGAATGACTGAGTAATTGTCAAAGTGTGATAGTGCTGAAAGCCGAAAATTGGCCTGGACTGCAAGAGGGGTAAAAGTGTCCAGACTTGAAGTGGTTGATCACCACTGGGTGTTTTTTTGCTAAGCAATCCAAAAAGACCAAAAATTTTGAAGAAGAATAATTTTTCTCCTTCACTGATGTGCGTTGACGAGGCTGCACTGATAGGCAGTACTAATGAGGTGGAATTGGTGGGAATTAAAAGGCACTGATATGCAGCACTGCTGGGAACAGGTGGGCTCTTGATACTGCACTGATAACAAATGTTTTACCTTTTTTTTTATTTTAAATTGTATGGGTCATTTTGCAAAGTGAGGGTTTACATATACTTTAGGCTGGCCATACACTCTTCGGAATTCAGTCAGTAGAAGAATACGTTCAGTGGGTGGCCACCTCCCACCCAGAATCCCTCAAATGAGAAATCAAAGGAATCAGGTTGAAAATTGTCGGCCAAACAGCAGGTGCAACCACATACAACTGCTATTTAGATATTGTGACGGCTGGCAATATCGGCTGTCAAAATACAATAGCTGCAGTAGGGGAGGCATCCGTCCATGCTGTGTAGTATAGATGGAGGAAATCTGTTTGTTTTTTTCAGTTATGTGTGAATAGCCAGCTTTAGCCTCTTAGCAACAGGCCAATGTGTTCACCTGTTCAAGCACCAATCTATTCTTGGCCTAAAGCAGCATCTTCCACAAAAGCTTGAAAATAAGCAGGAGGGAAGGTCAGCTATGGCAGCCTCCATACTTACTCAGGAAAACTGGTGACCTTGAGTGTGCTCAGACTAAGATGCAAGCCTACGTGTGCATGAAGCTATCAACTGCACAGGCCAATCACCTGTGACTGGAGGAATTTTCTGCGCTGCAGCCGCAAGTATAAGCGACCCTTGGGCTCAGATCCTAGTCTGAACACGTCCAAGCTCATCATTATTTAGGATAGATTTTCTTTAAAAGGAATGTATATACTTTTTCTTGCATAGACCCTTACATGTACATTGGGCAGTTATATTTTTTCATTACACATGCAGACTGCTTCCTGCTTAAGCGCTGATAGGGTTTACATCTCTGGCTTAAAAAAAAAAAAAAAAAAATACATGAGAACAAGCATGTAAAGTCAACATGACCTTAAAGAAGAACTCCAAGCAAAATGTTTATTTTCCCATGCAGTGGAGCTGTGCCCACATTGCATGGATTAACTGCTCGTTTTGTTCAGGGGAGCAAGGAAAAGCTATATTTACCCCATCATTCAAACTTGCAGAAAACAGAGCCCCTCACATCCAGAGGTGAAGCGTTCTTGCGGTCTTCACGTCCAGAGCTAGTCTATGGGAGTAATGACATCAAGAACAATCCATTCACAAGACTGTTAGCATTAGGGTGAACAGAAGCAGCGGGGACCAGCCTTGTGCTCGGAGGATCAGCAAATTAGGTAAGTATCTCCACTCTGCAATCCCCTAGACAAAAAAACGAGAAGTTAACCCACGCAGTTCCGGCACAACCCCACTGCATGGGAAAATAAAAAGCTTGCCAAAAGCTCTTCTTTAAAGATAAACTCTACAATAATAATGCAAAAAACACTGAATCACTGAAAACCCACACTTTACCTTTAAGTTAAGCAGTGCCTTTTGATGCAGTTACAATATTTTCACTCTAAGCTACTGTTTATTGATTGTACTTACCTACCAGATATGCCAAAAACAAGTGGATTTATTGCCATTTTAGACAGAAAGGAAGTGGTCACATGGCAGGCACTATACCAGTGGCCTTAGAAAGTCAAGGTAATGACACCAGAAATATTACTTCCTGTTGAGAATATTTCAGGACTCTGGGAACAGGTAGCTTACTTACAGAACTGTGTGTCCTTAGCACACAGATAATGTGGAAACCGGATAAGGGATTAATTAGAAGGCACCGTCCTGCTCACACTTTCATTGGATCCTATCAATGGTTAACTAAAACTGCACCATCTGACTGTACTATCACAGCTACTGAAAAAAAAAAAAGAAGCCAAGTTTCATCACTACAGGTGTTCTACAGAAAATGAGAATCATCTTGGGTGTTTCAGTACTGGAAACAACAAGCATACAATCAATGACAATTTTAGAGAGCTATATGGAAACGCCAATAAGTAGGCGTGAGTGAAATCAGTGCAAGGTGAGTGAATGACAAGTCTTCGCTTCCATCTTCCATGTGTGAATAATGCGGCAATTCCAGAAGGGGATTGATGGAGCACACAGAGGTGAGTATACTGTACATTTAAAAATGATCTACTGCTGTACAGTGTCTCTCTAGGCATCATCTGGTGCCACTGACCTGCACCTCACACTTTCCATGTCCTGGTGGGTCAAAACAAATCAGGATTTTCAATAAGCAGGCTGAAATCTAGGGTAACAGAGCAAAGAACAACAATACAGAAAGATTTATCCTTAACCCAGTGCTCCCCTCTATGGACAGCTGACCTCTAAAGTCAAAGAGGATATGTATGCAATCGCTCTCTGTTTTTGTTTCTACTATAGAAAGCCAGTGTAAAGAGGTACAAAAACAAAGTGATATGAATTAGTAAAGTGTCTGTAGATTTGAATTGGCTGGTTTGGGAAAGGCCTATGAAGGATCTGCACACACTGCCAAAAATGTAATTTTCAGATTGACAAATCTGATTCTTTGTTCTATTTCCCTAGGAAATAAACAAAACCTGATTGGCCAGTACGGGTATTTTTTTTTCTTTTTCCTTTAGTCTTGATAAGCTCCATAACCTGATGAACAAGGAACATTTATAGATGCCACCATAAGCACTTGCACACTTCAGTACACAAACAATGATATACTATACCATATATCGCATAAAAGCTATCCGTGCAATAAAACAAAAAGGGGCAATGCAAATCTTTACATAATGGGACTACCAGCATGTTGGGAAAGTTAACATTTACAGTTATCAGCAGTCAGTACAGTAATGAGAGGACTGGTTTTAAGCGCCTCAGTTTTTTTTATCTTGCTATTTAACTAGAAGGAGAGGCCCTGTACCCTGGAGCAACAGCTTACAAGCTCACTCAGTGAATTTTGTTTCCTAGAACAGAGTTAAAGCATGACGAACATAAAGAAATGAAACGGCAACAACATTAATTTGGACAAATATGCATGAACATACACAATGAACAATACCATTCTAGTTGTTCATGTTTTCAAATAAAAATGTTTTAAATTTGGCAAAATTTAAAGATAACCCACAATTAAAAATAATCCTTTAGGGCCTGTGTGGGCATGCATTGATGGGCATCAGTTTTAGATGCTTCTGCAATCATTCAGAATTATTGACAGGTGAATTTCACCTACAGTTTATTCCCTTCTAACCTGCATTTGACCCATTTTTAGCAGGTTTTGAATTCCTACAGACTTGAATGGAAATACAAAACTCATTTGAAACTAACAAAAGCCTGTTGACACAGGCCCTAAAAGAGACCCTGTCGCAAGGCTATCCATTTCATTACCAATCTTCCAATAAGATCATATGTGCATATATTGGATATTATACATGTTATTTAACTGTAAACATCTCTTTTGTGTAGAAACTGTGAACACTGCTATCTTGGGATGTGAATGTCAGCAGCAGCAGCACAAGACTTCACGGGACTGAGATTGAGCTCTGCAGTCACTTTTGCAGCAGTAGTTTTCTTATTCCGGGTCACAATCTTGCCCAATGTCCTTTTGTCTCTTTCATTCAGTTGACCATGTTGATTGTGCTTATCTTTACGAGACAACCTTTTCCTGTAAACTATACATGCCATCCTAACCTTTAATACTGTACCCCAAGACACCGCAAATTGGCAACTACAGTCACAGAGCCACCAGCTAAGCAGGCACCAACAATTTACCCTCTTTGAAGCTCAGTACGGAAGCATGACTCTGTATTATTATTATACAGTATTTAGATAGCACCAAATGGTTTGCTCAGAACTGTATTACTACCAGTGCACAGTGAATGACAAAAGCAAGACTTCCCACCTCTTAGCTAGGTGTCTCATCACACAGTGGAAGCAAAAGAATGTTTTCCGCTTTCAATGCAAAACATGCCGTCACACCTGCAAATCAAGTAGCGTTTCCCTTTTTTTTTTGTCTAACCTCTGTACTTGCTGTAAAGTTCTGGCTAGGAGAGTTCAACTTTTGCTTGCTGTACAGTAGAGGAACTCTAGGCACATAATACTTAGACTATGACAAACATTCCAGAGACTCTATAGACAGCTGTGTTTACAGTTCTCCCATTGCACAGTTTGAATTTTCTCTCCTGAATTTGTTGCAAGCATGCTATAATCTCCTCCTGTATAATTAAGTCCTGGATAAAGTGCAAACAGCCTCATTTGTGGACCCCTGAAGAACTGAGTTGCAGGAGTTCCAGAAGATTAGAACATTGAATTCAATGCTATGATCCTCTCAGCTGATCACACACACACACCGTAAGGACAGGGCTATCCACTAAAGTGCAGCCTGATACCACCTGGTTTTTCCTTCTGTTTATGGAAAACATTTATTTTTAATATTTCCAACATCCTTTAGAATTTGTTACTGTAATAAAATAATGAAGATACACATAGCACAGATAAATAACTTCACCCATTGTCCATGACCAAAAATTATATATGCTAAATGAAACTAAGTTAAAGGTAATAAGTGCAAAGCTGTGACGTTTCATCAGGTTGACTGGAATGCAGGGGTCAGGTCACCTCACAAAAAAGTTTTTTTTTGCCATTTTTTTTTTTT